AAACAATAGTCAAGCAAAGAAAAAATAAAACTGCTACACGTAATCATAATGGCAAAAGAATAGAAAAGAAAATCAATAGTTGAAAGACTGATGAAAGTTATAGAATATCAAGGAGCCTATGTGAATATATAATTTATTCAGGTGTATAGGATATTGTATATTAGTCTAATATATGTTTATATGGCCAATATTTTCTGGAATTATTTATAAATAAAAAATTATGTTGCACATAAATAATATAATAATACCTGTTATTAACAAACAAGTTATTAATATTTATTTTTTTTACTAACAATATGTAAGCTGAAATTTACATAATATAGGCTTACAGCCACATCATGTTGAAAAAACAGTTTCTGTATGATCACTGAAATTAAACATCAAGCTGGGTCGGTACTTAGATGAGTGACTGCTTGGGAATACCAGGTGCTGTAAGCTTGGATGTGCAGGTGGTGTAACGGTTAATGATTTGTAATTGTTAATCAGAAGGCATAGTTCCAATTTCTGTTGGGTTTGTTATATTCACTTACATGCAAATTAGTAATACTTCTATCCCTAAATCATTATTATCTAAAAAAAAAAAAAAAAAAATCCTTCACTCTAAAAACATTTTCTGGCTTTAAGTAACCTGCAAAGGGTTGATACATTGTAGAAAACAAAACAATCTATCACATGATATATTCCTGATCTAAATATATCAGGAAAATTTTACCAACATCAGCTGATGTCTTATACTGATTTTATTGTGCAAATATTCACTTAATATAATAAAACATAACTTAATGTAATAAAATGATATATATATATATATATATATATATATATATATATATATATATATATATATATTATATATATATATGGTTTATTTTGCAGATTTCATGATCAGTGTAAAACAAGGTCTTAGAATGTATGTATGTATAATAACTTTTCTACATAACTAGTAGACTCAACAACACAGACATGGTCAAATTCTTTTTTTTTTAATCATTTCACCCCAAGCAAGGTAATAAAGCCACCAGGATGCAAGGCGTTGCTGAGTGTTAGAGAATATGAGAAAATCTACTGTTAAGGCGAAAGGCAATAGAAGAACAAGAATGAAGAAGACAGAAGATAATGATTGAAATTTCATTTAAATTTTTGAAGATCAAAATTAACTGGGAAGTGCCATATTTCAGCAGGGCAAATCAAAAAAAATTAGTAATTAGTAAAATTATTAGTAAATGGTACAGCTTAAGCTATATTTATGAGGTATTATTTTAGTTAAACAAGCCATGATTACAATTAAATGAAAAATAAAAGAAAAAAGAACACAAGCTTATAAAAACATTATTATATCATTGATATGATCTGTACAAACTGTGTCTAGTAAATGTCTTATTGGAATAATTAGGATATAAAAATTCTGATTGTATTTATACCAATGCAACCAGAAGTTATCACAAGAAAAATATTAATGAAACAAATATATTTTACAAATATATAATTTGAATTTATCTCCATCTATAAAAGGCAGGATGTGTGTGTGTAACGAATGCATGGCCGCAATTTTCGACGGATTTGCATCAAAATGCTCCAAGTTAGTGGAAAGGCCAAGACTGACTTTGCATTTCCCAACTCCCATCGATAGTAGAAATAATTGATTTTTTCATGCTTCTACGGCACTTTTCATGTAGTTTGTGGCCATTTTCTACTGGCCAGAGTGAGAGCCTATGGCTGGCTGCCACGAATAGGCAGAAAGATTCTATTGGCCAGCTTGAGAGCCAACAGCTGACTGACACGAATGTTAACTAGCATGCAAAAAAAAAAAAAAAAAAAAATCGATAGCTGCATTTGTCACAAGTGGGAAAAATTTAAATCTGCATGGCACTTTACTCCAATTGGCTCATTCGTTTGCTTAAACTCAACGTTGATTCTGATTCCGCAGAACTGGGTTGGGTATGAAAAAGTATTTGTTGTTAACATTATTTTTTCATTCAGTTTTTCCAGTTATGAGTCCTTTTTTAAAGCTGATCGTTTTGTGTTCATTTTGTTTAGTTCTTTTTTTGTAACAGATTTAATGTTTAGTATAGAGCTTAGAAAAAATTCGCAGTGTCAGATAGGCAAGAAGTAAGGTATGTAGCAACATCAGCACGGCAAAGAGCACTCCTTTAAAGGCAAGGAAGGGCAAAAATATTTTAAGTCAAGTGATAGCGATTGCTGTATGAGTCGTATAATTTTTGAATCAAGTACGGGCAACGCCGGGCCATGCTGCTAGTTGCATATAATTTTAGTGAAACAAAGTACTAATATTAAATCTGATAAAATTAATATAATGAATATTATCAATGTTAATACTTTTAATCTGCATAATAGCATTTTAAATAATGACAATAGGTATATGAAAGTTACTCTAAAGTCTAAGCTAATAGGAGTTGCCAGGTAGCTAATTTCGTCAGACTATTGTGAATTTTAAACCTACATATGGCATATAAGATGCAGGAGAATTTTAAAAGATATTTTTAGTAAAAAGAAGTGTGCCTTATATGCCATCAAATATAGTGAACTATTCTGGTGATGTTAGTAGAAATAGAATTTTCTGTTATTTTAAACTTGACAAATGAAACACCATAATTTATTAGTGTTATATTTTAGTACGAATATTAATGAATAGTAATTTTGTAATGGTATCATGCTTATAAAATATCAAGAGCTTAGGTACTGCTATCATTTTTTGGTGGCATGAGTAAAGTGGTTGTAATAACGGAATAAAATGGGTTCCTTCTGAATTTCTGGGATGAAGCATTATCATTATTAACACTATTTATACTCCAACTATTGTTGCTGTTATTTTTGCTTATTTTTAATCATTTCACCTCAAGCAAGGCAATAAAAACCACAAACATGCAAGGGGTTAATGAAGGTGAAAGAAACAGATAAACAGAGGACAATAAAAGAAACAGATAAACAGAGGACAACAAAAGAAACAGATAAACAGAGGAAACAGATAAAAGCGGACAACAGATAAACAGAGGACAACAAAAAGAAACAGATAAACAGAGGAGGAAACAGATAAAAGAAACAGATAAACAGATAAACAACAAAAGAAACAGATAAACAGAGGACAACAAAAGAAACAGATAAACAGAGGACAAAAAAAGAAACAATAAAAAGGAAACAAAAGAAACATAAACAGAGGATAAACAGAACAAAAGAAACAGATAAACAGAGGACAACAAAAGAAACAGATAAACAGAGGACAACAAAAGAAACAGATAAACAGAGGACAACAAAAGAAACAGATAAACAGAGGACAACGAAAGAAACAGATAAACAGAGGACAACAAAAGAAACAGATAAACAGAGGACAACAAAAGAAACAGATAAACAGCGGACAACAAAAGAAACAGAATTCAAGGAGACAGAAGATGATGATTGATATAACATTTAAATACTTGAAGATCATAGTCGACGATAAAGCTGGATGAGAGTTCCATAAACGAGAAGAATGGGAGTAGAAACTATTGCCACAACATTTCATCCATTGTAATCTTCAGCCTTCTTTAAGCGCTTGCCAATCTCGATAGCTCTCAGGGAAATTTTGAACTAAACATTGGATTTAATCTATAAAGGGCAGATTGTTCTAATTTCATTGTCGATGTTTAGGGAGATCTCATATTCGTTACCCTATTTCCACTGAGACTAAGTTTGCACCACCTAGACCAAGGATTGATCTCACAATTACTATATCACTAAGTTCATTAACCAACTCTTTAACCTTTACCACTTTGCCGCTGTAGAATTCTCTCCCTTTGCTGCTTTAGGTGCATTATGTCGCCTTGAGATGGTTACTATAAATAAACTCTTGTCAACTCATTTCTGGTATTTTAAGCTGGAAATCACCTACTAATGCTTTGGAATGAGGCTAAACTTCCATTTACCAACACCAATTTGAATTCTTCTAGACTCTACACAAGGTATAACATCAATTAAACCCACGTTAAGTTTTTTGAGATTTTTTGTAAACGAAAATGGCTGCATCAACATCCAACAAAGCCTTTATTCAGGAGTTTTTCTTTGATTCAAACTCTGATGATGATTTTGAAGGATTTACTCAAGTGGATATTGATGGTGAAGTGGTCAAAGATGATAACCACATGTCACTATGTGGAAGAAAATGTTGATAACCACTAGTGGCTACTATCATCTATGGTGACTAATTTTATGGAAACTCCTGGTGACTATCAGTATATCTAATAGTCTTTCTGAAAGTGAATTATTTTGCCTATTTATAAACGAGACAAATAAATATGCTAGTCAGGGGAAAAAAGGACCATACAAATGCTGGTGTCACTCATATGTAAACAAGAGGAAGAATGTCACTATTTTTGATCAAATGAAAGCCTTCTTAGCCAGTTTGCTTCTTATTGTACCCCAGAACTCCACAAGGAGTAATAAAAGTTGAAGTATGTTAAATTGTTAATGTATTTGTTTTTTTTTATTTTGTGTTTCAATTATTTTTGTTTTTAATGTCAAAACATGCATGCATTACATAAAAATATGATTCCTCCATTCTTTTACTAGTATACAAAAAATAAAATCTATACACACAATATAAAGACAGTTACAACAATTTTAAAGCAGTAGGTGCTCATGTTTTTTGTGCCCTAAAAAAAAAAAAAAAAAAAAAAAAAAATAGATAAATAATGCAGTGGCAGGGAGAACAATTCTAGAAAGAAATTAGCGTGATAAAGGTTAATCCACTAGTGTATTTTCTAGGCTATACTGATTTGTTTTTTATGGCTTAACCTTTTACAGGTTATTTTCAAGCCAGAAAATATTTTTAAAGTATAAGAATTTGGGGAGAGACAATGATTTAGTGATACAAGTCTTACTATTTAACCTATAGCTGGGAAAAGAGTTAGATTCATACCTTTTCCAAGGGTATTTACACATAAGTGAATATAATGAATTCAACTGTAATTAGAACTCAGCACTCTGATTAACAATCCAAAGTTTAGAGCACTTGTTATTCCCAAGGGGTTACCCATTTATGTACTAACCTGTCTCGATATTGCTTAACTTCAATGATTGTATGGGAACCTGTGTTTCAACATGATGTGGCTGTAAGCATCTAAGGTATAGATATTTCTAGATATGGACAGAGGAACAAGAACAATTTACTCCTGTAGGTTAAATAAAGTGTTCAGCTCAAAATTCCTTGAAAGTTACTCAAATTGACAAAAACTTGAAGGCACAATAGCCAAAATGTTGGGATAGCAACATCAAAGATAAGGACAATAGTCCAAGTGTAAATGGTTTAAATTTGTATCTGATGGCTGACTTATTTGACAGCATTTAATGTTTTCTTATTCAGTTGTATACTGAAATACAATTTTGATACAGAAACTTACCAGGTAAGTGATCCTGGAGTGAATAGATTACAAGTGGAGTCTGACTATAACCAACAGGTTTGTTAGACAGAAAAAAAGGAAAATACAAAGAGGAAAATCACCTGCTGAAAGTGTCTGGTGTGACAGCTTGAACCTTATATGGTTGAAAAATCTGTGTTGCATTGAAGATTCCTCCAACAATTGTTCGAAACAATCCATCCATTTTGGCAGAAGTTGCATGTACAGATTATCTGCAAAGAAAACAAGAAATCTTATTAATAGAAAAATTAATGCCATATTTGTTTTGACATTCTAAGACAAAGAGATATAAGAAAAAGTTAAGTGAACCCTGACCTGATTTGAATGTCCAGTTTGGTAATGCACATGCCAGAGAAAGTGATCAAGGATAAGCAAGTGAAGATCTTGCGGGATTTTATTGTTCAAACAATACTATACCCTTGAAGCCACTAAACCAGACATTATCACCATTATTGAAATAAAAATGCCTCCTTATTGACTTGGCTGTTCCTTGTGACCATAATATCAAGATCAAAGAAATTGACAAGCAAACGAAATACACCAACCTCTAAACTGAAGTTTGCAGAATGTCAGGCTGCTATTGTTCTAGTTATAAATGGAGTGTTGTCTATACTACTGAACTTAAAAGTCCAATATTGAGAAAATAGGAACCAAGCCTTGTATCCCATCACCCCAAAAGTCTATATTGCTATTGTTATGGCTTTCCGCAACTCACCACCCATAACACAAAATCTTATACTTAGTGACCCATCTCTCTTCCCCATTTCTTTAATAATATATGAACTCTCTCCCTTTTTCTTTTGGTAACAGCAGTCACTGAATGCAAAGAATTAGATCAGACCACGGCAACAGATAAAAGCCAAAGCTAAAAATAGATTCTCATACACATGATGAATCAAGTGACCAGATACAAATGATTGAGTGAGAAAGATCAAAAGAACTCAGTTGGGTGATGAAGCTTGAAGGAAACAGATTGTATATTAAATTCTCATGTGAATTGACTTTCCAAATTGAAGAGAAGGAATGATAACTCCAACTCACATGAAACTAACACAGAATTAAATAGAGGCAAGTCTTGTGCAGACAATTCCTCTTTCACTTGTTAGTCACACAAGAGAGAAACTGAATGACAAAAAACTCCAATTTAACTCCAATTTATACAGCTTACATTAATGGCATAAGTGAATGGTGAAATGTGACCATCACCTAAGGAATGCATATGTGATATACTTAATTGGACAAAGGATCTAAAACATGAATTCTGCACTTCAACCTATGATTTACACAGCATTGAATCTTTATAATGAAATGTATGATTTCTGAAGTTCCGAAATTAAATGACTGGATAATGAACGCAACATTCAAGTAAGAAGAATAGATCAAAGGATAGTGCTACTCAAATGTATGAACTCGTTTGAAATTAAAAAGAGACAAAGAGAATCATAACAGAAAGAAAGAGAAGGCAAAAATAGAAAACCTTAATTTATTTCAGAAGAAAAACTGAAGCTAAGATTTTGTTTTAACTTTTGCCCTTATAAAATAATGCATACATCTTTCCACACAGAAACATATAGCAGACATCTTTCCACGCATTCTCATATATAAATGTTTTTATGTATTGTCTAGTTGTAGTGGGGAGGCATGGTAGAGTAATGGATAGTGGCTTGGATTGAAGAATTGGAGAGCCGTGTTCAAATTCCACTTGAATCCATTACATTCATTTATGTGCTAATACCCTTGAAAAGGTATGAAGCCCCCCGTATGAGGAAATAGCAGGACGGACTGGGTTCTATAGCCTTGGATGGCAACTGGTCTACTGCAGGAAAAAAATCTGCCCCCGTCAGTCATTCATCAAAAGATACATGATCACTTAAGCATGTATCATGCATGGCACATAATTGACTAGTTGTAATTAAATCTTGTTAATTTGTATATTGGCGTTTGTCATTGGTCACTATTGGTTATTGTTCTGAAATTGTGTATTTGACCCTGAACTGAAACCTTCCAATGTGGAATGGTAAACCTGGGCATCTTTTAGACAAGTTGTTTTTTTTTTTTTCATCTTTTCTGCTGTGGTAATTGACCATAAAACTATTCTATAAAAGGTGCTGTCATAAGACTTGATAGAGAATATCCATAATGCAAGATATTCTGGGTGAATACAAAATTCATATGAAAGAAGGCCAGACATCATTAATGTCCAGAAGAAAGACAATGTTGGATCATCATCATAATGGTAACAGGAGATGTAAGGGCTGTAAGAGGAAGAAAAAAAAAGTATCAAAATTTGGAACTCAAGATAGCACACTTGTTGTCCCTCTTGTAAGTGCCCTTGGAACAGTAACAGACAAAATCCAAAAATGAGCAGGTGAAACTGTTTTAAACCAAGATGTTTCCATAAACAGTCATGCTTGGTATAGAAAGCATTCTGAGAAAGATTTTATTGATATGAACAGCTAAAGAAATGACAGGATCCATAGTCATTTGTTATGACTCACTTCTGATTGTTAAATTGCGGCATTAAGATCTGCTTGAGAAAAAGATTATAATAGCAACTAATATAATTGGGCAATAAAATTTGTTTATAACTGCTGTTTATTTTTAAACTTATTTTGTGATCATGTTATTTTATGTTATAGTAAAGATATAACAGGTTTTGAATGAATTCTCTCGAGTCTTCATAATCAAATGCATAAAGCAGAAAGTTTGTGCATATGTGCCTACTCAGAATTTTATTTACGTGTGTGTGCTTGACAGCAATATATTTGTGTGAAGCACATGTGATTTATACAGCACTGACACATCTACATAAAGCAACAGAAAAATAACTATTAACAATCCTGAAAAATCACTTATCTAACAGTACTGGTCCCATTGATGCTGGATTAGTGATTGCCTACTTGTAATAAGAAAGTATCATTGTTAAATACAAGATAATGGATAAGGTAGAACATGACAGTGGCATGTCTGTGCAAAGCTTGCATGATTTATACAGTATTGTCTCATCTACAGTTTATGAAAAAAGAAACAGAAAAATAATGCAACCATCATTAATCTGGAAAAACCACTTAGTTCAGCACTCTACATGTTCCAATGATGCCAGATTAGTGAGGATCAGCCTGTATCTTTCTATGTTTCCATTTACAAAGTGAAAATGATTTTATTTACTAATTTTTAGTCTAGAACAGTAGTTCTTAAACAGTGAAGCGGCGCCTCATAGGTGCAGCGGAAAAGGATAGCAGGTGAGGTGGAATGATAGAAAGACAATCACAGATTTAGAAACAGTTTAAAAAATTCATATGCCAAAAATAAATATGATTTCAAAATTTAAAATATTATTATGGATTATTTATAATTGCATGTATGAATCCCAGTATAAATAACTATTGACTGATTTTATCATTTTATCATTGCATTATATCAAGGGTTAAGAATATAGTAACCAGGGTCTGCGAATTGTAGGAGGGAGTTATCACTGATAATGTTTTGACCTCGAACCTGCAGTTATTTCCCTTTAACTCTCACTCTGGACCTGCTTTGCCATAGGGTTGTTTGCGCTTTTCACCGGGACTTCCCTTTGGTGAGGCACAAGCAAATTTTCATTCTGAACATGTGACCCAGAGGAAAAAAAAAAAAAAATTTGGGAACCAATGATCTAGGTCAAGGCCAAAACTTGTTTACAGTCTTGATTAGATAAAGAACTAATGTTTTCAGAACAACTTTAATTTTGTAGATGGCAATGCTATTTTTTTCTTACAACAGAACATATAGGTATGTAAACTAAAATGGAATAAAGATGGTAGAGAGAATCAGGATGGATAATTTAAATGTAGGTGTAGAGAGATAAGTGCGTAATGATGAAAGAGAATAAAAAGGACACCATCTGGCCAGTCTCTTGATGATAAATTATAGGCCAGAAATTGGGAGCTCTTTAAAAGTTCATGAACTTGTGGTGACAAAAGAGAAAACAAAACTCTTGCCACAAAATAGAATTTGTGGTCTCTGTGCTATCTGTTGGAAAAGAAAATCAAAAAAAATATCAGGTTGACTTTTGTAGGCCTTGAAATATGGTAATTGTTTTCTCTTCCCTATCAGTCTCAACCGATCACAACCTTGCTTACCCCAATAAAAGAATGGTACTTTAAATAACTGGAAATCTTAGTTTATCAGGAGTGAAGGCAGCAGTTGTGTATGGCAATTTTTGAATTCAGAGTTTTTTTTAACTTCTTTTATGTCCTGTTATTTTTGACTTTGGACTTGCAAGACTTATTTAGGACCCTTAAAATTATGCCCTTGGATTTTTCATTTTCTTGGACCTAAATCATCCATGTTGCTATTTACTCTAACAAAGAACCATTGTAGGATAATTATTTAGAATAAAAACAATAATTATTCAAAAACACTTAAGATTTCAGCTGATTTTCTTACACTTTACTTTCTTTTATTTTTCTTAATCAATTTTATCCAATGCAAGGTAGTAAAGCCACTAAGACACAAGGGGTTGCTGGGTTTGGAAGAATTAGAAACAAAAAAATTACTAATGAGCAGGAACAAAAAGAGTACTTAGGAGGACACTAGATAGCAATTGACATTGTATTTAAATTTTTGAAGATTAAAGTTGGCTGTAAAGCATGGGGCCGGAAGGGAGTTCCACAAGCAAGAAGTGAAAAGAAACTGTTAGCATAGAATTTATGGTTACATCTAGCCAGCTCAACTATAAATTGTATTTCATTCTTGCAAGTAGGCTGATTCTGTGCTGCAAACACAAGGAGATACTGCAAAACAGTTTCTGCGGATAATAGCACACACAGTACACCATAGATTGATGAAAAACATAATCACATACCCAGCACACTATCTGTCACTTCAAGTGAATCTTTAAATACATGTTGAACTCATGAATATTCATCAGCTGATAGTATTATCAGGAATACACCTGTATATGCACACTTTTCACATTGCAAATGACCACCAGTATGTGAAGCACAAAAAGCATTGTGCTTGTTTAGCTTCAGGTAGACAAGTGGGAATTCTTCATATAATTTTCATTAAGTTTCTTATCAAAACCAACTGCCCAAAATTTCCTTTACAAAATAAAATATGGCTGAAGAACATAGCTAACAAGCAAGACTTCATAGCTAAACAAAGAAAATTATAAAGATTTTCACTGAATTGTTACTTTAT